CACAATAAACCAATTCAATAAATTACGATCCATTAAAAGGTAAGCTGGTGTCTCACTTTGGGGGAAGAACTTCATCTGAGGAAATTCCAAAGCAGAAAAAAATTAAACCTTAAAGTAAAATAATATAAAAATAAAAAATTACTGGGAGGTAAAGGTGTTGATAGAAGCATAATATTAAAGGGGATGTTAAAATAAACTGGTTGAAACGTTATGAAATTTCACTAGGAGCAAATGATGGACTTTTGTGGTAATGGTGAAGACTTTCACATTCCATAAAAAGTTTGTTCAGTTCAACAGCTATCAACTGCTGAAAAAAGATTTGCATTATGGAACTTCTCTATTCTATTGCTGTTAGTCAAATGACAGGGTAGTGAAGGAATACTGAATAACAGAGCAGAATCAGCGGTTGATGTGGGGCGGTATCTGCTATTGCTGAGACATGTTAATGTGCTATTTACTGCATTTAAAGAAAGAACTGGTATGGTAAATGGGGAAATTTTATAGGCAAGAAAAATAAATTTAACAGTCATATTACCACACCAGCAACATGAGAGCTAATGTAAAGAAGAATACAGGAGAAGAAATGGTAAAACATGAAGTAATTTAGAAGTAAAAGCTAGAACAGAGTTGTACAGTCATCTCTGTAGGTTGTGGGGAAAAAATATTTCCAGACATAACACTGATGATAAGACATATCGTTCGGGAAGACCAAAATCATGATGGGAGAAACAAAATCTCCACTGGTTATGAAAGGAATGGTACCACATAGTAAACACATAGGAAGAACATAGATTTTGCTACATGACAACCCCCAAAACAGTGGAAATGTCAATAGTGAAAATGTCAAAAGTGAATGATGACTGTACAGCAAATTTCTATTATTTCAGTAAACACACCTCAGGTCTCTCTTGTACACAGTGGTACATCATGAGGACTATTGGTTCTTGTAAGCAAGCCCATTTGGGGTTGATTTCATCTTCAATAAAACTCAACCACGGTAACACAAATTTCTCCAACTCAAAAACAATTCTATTTGCTGCCATATGTTTATCTGGTAACTGTTAATAGAAGATTAACATGAAAGTATTATCTATTAGTTTGTTATTCACATATTTCTCATCACAGGTTTTACACCTCTGCATTTTTGTTGCATTAATACTGCCAAATCAAGAACAAGTCCAATTTCTATACTTCTTACAAACTGTCCCTTTTTTTATAGCCACACCTGCAATTTTTAGAACAGTACATTAACATCTAAAATCTTCCCTTAATATCAAGTGATCTGCTAAGTCATTCACATCCAATTTTCCAAAATTGTGAGGATGCACATTTTGTTTCATTATGAGCAAAGCACTTCAATGCATACAGCTCAAAACACTTGTTCTTAACAGAATGTTATTTTCTTTGTACTAAGGTGTATGTGTTTCAATGAAGTGACAGTGGTAAAGGAGTTTATCTTATTGCTTTTCAATTAATTCTTCAAGACTCAATCAAGAATTTCCAAAATCAGCATTAAAATTAAAAATAACATTTAAATTAGTCCTAGTGGCCTGTTTCTATTCAGATAAAATAAACTCAAGGGGTGGTCTCTTGTCAGACTTGGTTCATCATTCGGAAAATCAATGTAACAGTCCACAACGAAATTCAGACAAAATACATTATACCTCTGATGTGTCACATGTCAAAACATGGGAATCTCAGGGGGTTAAAGCAAGTAGACTTCAGGAATTTGTAATCAGAAATTGATAGTTCAGTTCTATTTGAGGTTCGCAGGGTAATAACTCTGAAGAGTATTATGTTCTGCGATATGACACAGCGTAGTCTGGTAGAAGTTTACAGATGCTGTGGAGGAACATACTACGACTAGCAGATACATGGGGTCCTGAATCCTTCTAAGAGGGCTGCTCTGCCCAGTAAGTATCCTGACCTAGTGCCCTGTGTTGGGTCAACTTTCAATTGCAGTAGCAGGGAGCTGTCCAGGCACAACATTCAGTCTGTCAGCCTTCTGCTGAGGAGTGTTTCTAGCTTCCTTCAGTGAGCTAAGAACAACCCAGATACCTGGAGTATACAAGTTACTTTTTTTTTAGAATGTGTATACAGAAGCTCTTTTATATATGTAATTTGCTCATACAGAGCAGCATCAGAGAATCTCTGCTGGCAAATATGTAACAGGACAGCATTTCTTCAACCTCTGCTGGTCCACAGATTTTTATGGGCTGCCAAATCAAACAATATCAATCACATATTCATCAGACACATTTTCAGCCCTGTGGAGTGCCTAGTAAATTTGACCAAACAGTTCATCCATATGCGTGGAACAATTCGAGAACTGATGGATGCAGTCTCATGAAATCTGATATGTGAGAATTTTACAAAAACTGCCAAACAATTTCAATTTTTATTAGATCAGGTGTGTTTAATTATGACTTTACATGAAGACCTACATATTTTACTATTGATAAATATTTATCAGACAGAAAATATATTGAACAAACACAGTGGAGAAAAATGAAACATATTTTGTGTTCAACACATTTTCCTCATCAGTTTTACAGTTTTCATGATAATTCAATAGAAGGAATGTTATGAGTACCATTACGAACTTTCATATTCAACAGTCAAGCATGGGTTCCAGAACTCAATTGTGATAAAGAAAAAAGTATTATCAACTTTAGACTGCATTAAAATCAGATATGTTTTGCAGAAAGTTCCATCTTGTGGGATATATTGTGATGTAGTCTGATAAACGTCAACCTATTTTGGAAGAACGTGTTGACTTCATCTTCAGGGTAGAAGAATAAGCCAAGCAAGAAACCAACACGTTGACTTTCAACAGACTACAGAGCATTATATCCAAGAAGATAGAACTGCTGTGAAAACCTCACATTCTACACAGACATGCTTCATTTTTTAATGTAGTGTTCCATCGCAGTACAACTTTGAAGCATATACTAAACAATTTATATACATTTAATTTTTTATTTAGAATGCGTAATAACAGTGACCACTAAAGTCTTATTACTGATGTTTATTCATTTAGTAAGCCTATACAGTTTCGACCTCTCTCCAATTTCAGAAAATATTTTAATGTAAGAGTGAACAGTCATATGTGAATTTAACGTTCATTTATTATAAAGGAAAAGTGTATCACAGTCTTGATTATTTCATTTATCATTTCTTCTGCCACATGTGCCTATTAAGTGTACATCATATACTTTTACAATCCTCTTCCATTAAGTAACTTAAAGATGATACATGGTAGAATGTTATACACATTATCAAAAAACCCGAGTAGGGACGAGGAATTTAAAATTTTTTAACACTGACAATAATGCCAACTCATAACTATGTTCACTGATCAAGTTCTGCTATTACATACGTCACTTATTCCTCAATGATAAGTCACTGAAAACTAAGTTATCAATTTGTAATTTCATATGCTGCATCAAAGTAGTTTGTGGACTTCATAATGGCTGTAGATAATAAGACTTAGATTTACTGCATCACATAATTTATCGACAGTTTCTTGATATACTGCATCATATAATTTATCAACAGTTTCTTCAATGTTCTGCAGCTTTAAACAAACTTATTCTTAAAATGTATAACAGTTTGCACCAATAATGTATTTATATCAAGTAAAATACTGAAGCAAACTGCATATCACATTAAATTTGTTCTTTCGCCACATATTCTAAACATTTTGCCAACAAGTAACAATTTTACAACCTTGATGTACTCATATTTCATTTGTGTTTTAGTGTGAAAAGTTTCTTTAGTAACAAACCATTAACAATTTATTGGAAACATTAAATAATTTTCAGATGAAGTGTTGCATACGCATTAATCTAACATCTATGATTCTATACTGTAATTTTATTCTTCATTCTGGGTTTTTTACGTATGTAATACTTGAGAAAAATCTTTGTAAACACTCTATAACTAGGTTACATGTAAAACATCAGAGAGAAAGAATGGAAGAAAATCAGAGATTCGGGAGCATATCTTTTACTGTCAATACATTCATGAGCCCAAATGTGAGTACTTCTTTTCTTTCCCTGCCTCATCTAATGCTATCCTTAACACAGACTTCATGACTGTTCACTAGAAATTGCATAAGGAAGAAGCAAAATAATTGTCAAATGATGAATTTCTTTTATTGATGAATAACAAGGTCATTCATTCATTCATTCTTTTAAATGGCAGCTGATACTCGAACACCGCGTTAGAAACAAAGCAATAATCAGACCTCAGATTTGGTAGACCAAGAAGCTTTCAAGAATGAGTAATGGAAGAGAGACAAACAATCAAACATATTATAATCCAAATCTGAAGAGGAAAATGATTACCAGGTGGCACCAGTGAAACACACACTTGTGCAAAGCAGAGAGTTTACAAATCAGTAAGAAAAACCTGTATGAGGCTTAAAAAAATACTTCCTGGAAAGTGAAAAAGGGACAGGAATTCAGCAGATCAAATGTCCTGTAAAAATGTTGGCCACTTTACATTATACACCCATTAGTTACAGTAGTCATATGTGAGATGGAATATGAAAAAACATAAAGTATGTATTACAAAAGCAATAAACCAAATTTCAATAGACTCTCAATCTACAGTTTGTGCTAAACTCATTCTCATCTGCCATCTTTATCAGAGTTCAGTTTAACACACATATTTTTGTTGAGTGCACCCATTCTCCCATGAAGATGATTCAACCTTGACCTGTCCTTTCAATAACGTCCATCAGTGAGGAAGTGTATGACTATACAGCTAATAAAGGTACAACATTATTACAAAAAAACCCCATAACATTGTGAAGAAGTCTGAACTCACAATGTCCCAGCTCTAATGCAAATAATAATCTTCAATAGTCTAACAATTTACAATTAGAATCATTGTAAACAAATCTTATCCATGTAAGTTTTGAGGTTTTCACGGTGATGACTATGAAGAAAGTCATCTTCTGGGTTTAGGCGCCGTGTATTCTTCGTTTTGGCCGACGTTTTGGAGGAACGTCGGCCAAAACGAAGAATACACGGCATCTAAACTCAGAAGATGACTTTCTTCAAATCTTATCCATGTTACTGGAAATAACGAGGTATAATACAAACAAATTGCCCTAATAATAATCCAACCCAGGATAAGGTATGTGCCACAATTAACTCATTTTCTTGTCTTATGCACCTAGCTTGTCCAGCAACTTGTTGATGGCACAGTATATTCATTATTCCTGAAGAAAGAATCTCTATGTCCACTTCAGCTTGTTGGTCATAGTTTTATTATTATTATTTCTTCACATTCTTTCACTTCTGAATGTATTTAAATTGGAACACAATGACTAGATTGTATCAACATTTCTCTGATGTAGTCCAGTGAAATATACTGCCTCTTCATTCATTTTTGTTTTATATTTGTTGTCTTAATCAGCATATTCTACAACCACATTTAAATTAGTATCTCTTCAGGACAAAGTCTGGAATGAAGTAGTACTTTTCTTGTCAAACAATACTTAAAATTGTTTGTCAATTCACTGTTATATTAATATTTATGTGGCATATCCAGCCTCATGCACACAACAATTAGTCCAACCTGAATGATACGCAGCATCAAACCAACCCACTCCTTAGAGTAAGAAATAATTACATTTGTCTATACATAAAAGCAGACAATTGTCTATGACTGTGACGAGTGCAAAATTATGTACTATCTGTAACATAATAACTGTTATTAATATTATCCACTCTGATACACCAGTTGGATGCATGGCAAAAATGAATTTTGTGTAACTGGATGGAAATTCTTTAATTTTAAGTACATAAACAAACACTTCCACAAAGCCCATTTCCATCATAGTGAAAAATTACTATTTCTGTGTTATCTTTCACGTAATAAATATGGACCACGAACATTAATAACAAACACACTTAGCCATGACAGATAAATAAGAATTTTGAAGCATGTGGTTTGACTTAGAACTGGGTACTTTAATTCTTGCAATGTACAGTGAGACATGCACACTGTAAACCATGAACACAATTTTCATGTAAATTTGGTGTAATGTGGTACAGCCACAGTAGATGTGATGCAAGGAATTTCATTACAATTTTGAAACCAAAATTATTTGAAGATTCAATAATTTTGGTTATTATCTGTGGGCAATATTTAATAATGTAATGATGTTTCTGTAATGTAAGGTAAAGTTGTCCCTGTGCTTAACTAATTAAGCACTATGTCATGAAAGCATATGGGTTCTATAATGTAAAATGAGAAATGATATATGAAAATCTGTACATAAATGGACTCACTGTCTGGAAGTTTGCTCCAAACATATAATCAGAAGCTTAAAGTATCCTTTTAAGGAACTGCTGGCAATAAAAATGCAAAAGACCCATCCGAAAATTATGTCCTAGTATGGATAGGTACTTAGAAGGACTTATTTCATTCTCTTGGGTTTGACTGTAAAATATGGAAGCATTCCATACATTAATTCAACTTTTCCATATCCTTTCCACTTATTTTCATTTACTGATGACCACTGACACTGAATATCTGCTAATAATTTTTACACAGAAACTGTATGAAAGAAAGGGGTGTTATATGAGAAAGGAGCTTCTTTCTATTGTTCTTCCTCCCTATAAAACTGAAAACTTCCAACAAACCATATAAAACTTAAATACCATGATGCAGCCTATTGGTGTGTTCAAAGCAACAAAAATGTAAAATTAGAAGATAATATTGATCTACATTTACATTTTATGTAAGTAACCAATTAGAAATGTAAACAAATTTAAACTTTTACTTTAAATTTTATTAATAAGGTATGAGTTTTGTGTTCAGAATTCACTTTTCAATCCAATCCAGTCAGTACTTTCATAGGATCATTCTACTTAAGTCTTTTAATTGTAAGAATTTTAAATATGCTAAGTGTCTTTTCAAGTTACAGAAAATTAAATGATCACAATATATACTTAACATGTTTACAAGAAGTAGAATTTTTTCATGTTGACAAAGCAATAGTGACACAGACAGGGAATGGAAGCTGGTGTCACATTACATTTGAAATCATGTTCTATAGCTCAGATTGTTGCGCCCAAATGAAATTCTCTTCTAACAACTGTGGCTACTGACCTCTTTGTTCAGCTAACTCAAATGAAGGGTATGGACATTAAACCAAAGATAATCAGCAGTAAGGTAAACTAATCTGATATCAAATTAGACTGAACTAGATCTACAAAAATGGACATAAATGAAACAACAATTCTGCAGGAGTTGCTGTTGCATACAGCATAAATAAATCCTATTAAATTTCAAATAAAACAAATTATTCTACTAAAAATAAAACAAAATGTTCTCTACTGTTTCTCATTATTTTTTCAGTTCTCTTACATGACTAAAAGTACATGTATGTGGACACTGTTCCTGATGTATACAACACTTACTGAGAGCAAGTTCTATTTTCTTGATATATAGAACAAATGCATGATTCAAGGCTACTTCTGGGACATAATACTGTGAAGATCAACAGAAGTACAACAGTGTTTTAGAGCAATGTATGTCAAGCAAGAAACCAGCATGAAACAGGGGACAGGAAGAGTGAAATCTACTTCTCACCCGTTTCCTGCTGGTTTCTTGATTTGTTTACTCTTCAGTCCTGAAGACAGGCAGTACATTCCTCTCAAACATCAGCAAACTACTAAAGGAATACATGATGAAACATCCCTAAAGAGAGCACTCCTCACAGTTATCACTGTGAGAACCTCTATTCCAACCAAGACTGCTTATTTCTGTACATACATTATTTTGTTGGATCAACAAAGAGTCTTCACAGATATGTCAAAGGCAGTTTCTTTAAAAATCAGGATGTTGGTTAAACTGGTATCACTAATGGAACAGCTGCACTATTTTAATTATGATAACTATTCAAACACAGAATGTATAATACTACAAGAACTGCACCTCAATGAATACTGGAAACATGAAATTAGTGATTCATTTTCCATCATACATTATGAACCCCCGCAATTGCTGTGGATGAAGCTGAATGTTTAGGAGAGAAACCACATAGAGAGAACATACACACCAGAAAATTTTGCTCAAAATTTAGACCGCCACCCATTATTTCTGCAATATTAGATTCAGTAACAACTATATTTTATAAGCTACAGAACACTAGAGGAAAACTGAAACTTCATTCTACCACTGATATCAGGGTTTCACGGTGGTTAATTATTGATGTTCTGTTCTTGGGGTGTTATACCATGTGGATGTGGGAGACCGTTTCAAAGGTACATGCTTCCCCTAAAACATTTGCAACATCTCCCAAAACCACTGGTGTAGCAACCAAAGAACAGAATTAGTGTCAATGCATTCTATAATTTAGAAGCACCTTAATGGAAATTCTTTCAACCACTTAAAGCAGGGTGTCTCCCACAAAGGTATGTCTTATGGACATGTATATATGTAGAAATATTTTGATAACAGAAGGCCTAAGACTACTGTAACTACAACATTTCATTTTCTGTCCTCTTCCCTACCACTGTGCTTTTCTCAGATTCATTCCTTCACTCTATCAAGCACACATGCACCAAAACATATTCAACACTTGCACTATAAATACAATAAATGCTATACTATATATAATATAAATAAAAAACATTATTATACCTTTTTCAATTTATTCATCTCATAAGTTGCCATTTTGTACAATTCAACAGTCTAGTTTTAATTTTTTATTTGGTGTCTTATTAAATATGAAACAGTACATCAAAAATAGTATATGAATACTTAAAATTTAGCTGAAATCATTTACTTTCATTCAGACTGAAATAAAATATAATTATACTACCAGAATTAAATATGCACACTGTTTCTGCAGCCAATATGACAATTCTAAGACTCATCCTTTAGAGTCTTACATAGAACAACACTATACAAAGTTCCCCTTATTGTAATATTCCCTCCTATCATCTCCAGTGTCAGAATTAATCAACTAACAGACACTATATTCTGTACATCTGATGCATGAATCAGTCAAGTTTATTATTTTTTTATGTTACATAGTATTATTTTAAATTTCATATTCTTAAAAGAAGTTGAAATGTCAATACACAATGTTAATGTTGGAAATACATTTTGGTTTAACACAGTCAGAAAATGCTTCTATACAGTAACAGGGTAACTGAGTTTGGCTAATTTCACAGGCTACACAAAGTTACAGGAATATAATTGTATTGTGTTGCTACAGTATGTACTATTTATATCACAAGCAAAATAACATGAAACAGATCCAATAACATGAGATGGGGACTCCAATGTAATGACATGGACTTCAAAACTCTTTTCCAGGAGTTATTTACATCATATTACTTTCTATACTAACTAACATTTTCTGTTTTAGTTTCATGCATGATATTCTTATCAATTCTTGTGTTATTCAAAAGAGAAAGTGATTTGGCCACTATTTATGAGTAACACAGTTACCTTCAAACAGTCATCCCATCTTATATTACTGCTGACAACATATGTCTAGTACAGGACTTACTACATTCTAGCTAGCCTACCTCTGAACATAGTGTAGGCCAAAATGGAAGAATAGTTCACAAGTTTGAGACCAGATTGCTTTACCCTTTCTGGCTGATAGCAGTCACAGTAATTACACCTCCAGGACCAGGTAATGTTGATGAACCCATGAGAAATGCATCCACTTCACGTGCTGCTTGCCTCCCCTCTGATATTGCCCACACGACAAGTGACTGGCCTCGTCGACAATCTAAACACCAGAAATGGAGCAGAGATATTAGCGTTTGTGTGACTGCATTTATATCCTCTACTTTAGCTCTCTGAAAATGAAACGTATTGAGGATAACATAACTGAACAGCAGTTTATTCACCAATGCTGAATCAATTGCTATAGCACTGAGGTTACTTAATTATGAATAGAATTTGACAAATTGTGTATGCCAGATCATCAAAGAGTCTAAAAGTTAAAATCATACCACACTAATTGCAGGTGTCAATACTGTTGCAACAAAGTATCAGAAAATCTAAATACCATAAAATCTTAATCTCATCACTTTTCACAAATAAGCACTGACATTTGTACATCTGATATAAATTTATGCAAACATGCTTCAAATTTGTTCAGGCCATCATGCCATTGTCCAGTATGCTCTCAGGGCACATTTATAGGCTCAGCTGTTTTAAACTTTTGTTTATTTGCTAATCAATCCTTCAAACATACAACAATTTTCACCATACATTTTTATCTGATTCAAGAGGAGTCAATCTGTGTCTTAACATCCATATCAAAAGCATATTAATATCCATAGCAACAGAAAGTTGATAATGCAGACTTTAATCTACTGTCTGGCATGATTTCTTACACCACGACCAGCAGTGAGACATATGTAAGTGACATAAATCAGGATCTGTAATGGTAGGAAGAAAACATCCCTATGCTCTCAACAGTAATAAATGTTATGTCCAATTTCAATATCAGTCATTTATGAGGTGCTACTGAAAAGTTCCTGGAATAGGTAAAAAAAAAAATGCTGGTTTAACTTATTCAATTCTGGCTGCCATACAGTGACCCCATCATTCTTTCCGCACTTCAAAAGCACCATGGAAGTTATTTTCCTTAATGTTGTTGAGTACCGCTTGCAATTCCCTTTGGATGTCAGACACTCTTTCAAAACATCATCCCTTCAGTTTCATTTTCATTGGGAAACACAGCAAAATCACAGGGGCCTAAGTCCAGTGAGTAGGAAGGATGGGGAATGATAACCATGTTGTTGTTAGTCACAAACTCTGTGGTTTTCAGGGATGTGTGGGAGGACATGTTGTGATGAAGGAGCAATGCGGTGCATGTTCAGATTTTCTGTTAAGATCCCCTGGAAAACTCCATAACTGATCCAAAGGGGGTCTGGGAGCTCATGGATTTTTCGGCAACAGTCTTTGTGGATGAGTTCTTAAATTCTTTCAACATTTTCTGTCATCATGCTGGTACTTGGTCGCCCTGAACATTTGTCATTCAATTGATACTCGATTGGCCTTGAAACGTGAATGCCATTGAAAAACTGCTGTCTGACTTAAGGAATGTTCTCCAAAAGTCTCACAAAGCATTCCAAGAGTTTTGGTAGTGGATTTGCCGAGCTTCACACAAAACTTGATGCACACACATTGCTCAATTTTGCCATCCATCACAGACAAAATGAAACAGGAAGTCAAAAAAGCATTTGTGTAAAAACAATGTGTGTTCACAGCACGGCGTCATGTGGCAGACTGATGTAATAGGTTTTCTGAAGTGTGACCTTGGCCTCCTCTCTCATCTTCTTTCACCGAGGCAGTTACAACAATAACAGTCCAGAAACTTTCCAATGCCGCCTCATACTGTGAATGTGGCTGATAATCAGACTTGTTTGCTCACTGCTGTTGTCTCTGGACAGGAACTTCTTGAATTAATGCAACTGCAGACTTTCCCTTGTAACCCTAATATCTCCATCAACTTTCCAAATGGAAAAAGCAAGACACTGAACAAATAATAAAACAAAACTGTACCTCCAGCAGCAAACACTTTTGGAACTGATGTTTGATAATGGCCACTTGGAGTTTGATAGTTGCTTCGTGGGTCCAGAGTCAGGTCCAACTCTGAGGAAATGTACTTCTCAGGACCCAAGAATCCCATTGCAAGAAGCACCAAGTCACATTTATAAACCTGTAAGCAAGAGGCTACCTTTAAAATCTTTGCCACATTCAACACATCAGATGAAAGTATATCCAGATGTCTGGTGCTGCATCTAAGAAAATGAAACAAGTGATTTAAAGAGCACTGAAATTGACTTGATTAAAATCAGCACATAAAGCAAATGACTGACTTGGCAAAAATTGCAAAGGAACAACTGACAAAATAAATAGAGAATATCAGTTCACAGTATTTTACACCATAACAAGGGTGCATCCATGTCAGAAGGATCATATGTGTGAAGATCTTGTGGTCTATGTGGCTCTCAATTTTGTACCAAGGTCTTAAGTTTGAAAGTGGCCAGAATCATAGTTGAACTTTCCTTGCCTCTGATAAAGACACAACTATATGAAAATGGGGTATATCAGGCCTTTGTTAAGGTACAAAACGCACTTTTAGCAGGTGATATTACCTACCAATCACCATGATTCTCATGCTAACATCAGGGCTTGGAGTCTGCTGAGAAACTGACTCTTCACCACTGCCAAAATGCCAAGATGCATGGAAGGTGAAGCAGCTGTCAGCTAAAACAGCAACTGTATCTGACACTATTTTCAGTAACACTGTTGCAAGAACAATTTTCATCTAGTCTTTCATTCAAAGATTTGTGGGTGAGCTGCTTCTAAATATGTATATAGCATTCAACTACATTACTTGCATTATTTGTGACCAACTTCAAATATCATCATACTAATTACAAGTTCACTGACTAGTCAGCGTGATAAAATGAATATAGCAAGAACTGTAAGTAACCAGTTTCCTGTAGACCAATTCTTTTTATTTAATTTTTATGAAGAATTCTCATTGCAAGTCCAGCATGATAGCATATGATAGCATGGCGTTTTCAACCTTTCTTTTTCTTGGCACTACAGCCCCAGCGGGCCTAGGCCTACCTCCATGAACTTTTCCGTTCACTTCAGTTTTTCTAGATCTTACACATTTGGTAGGACTCCTTGGGCGGGTGATCAGCTCGTCGCAAGGCCTCTACCTGTACACAAACACAGAAAAACGCACACACACAAACTAAACATCCATGCCCTGAGTGGGATTCGAACCCATGATCCCGGTTTCCAAGCAAGCAAAGACAGTACATGCCTTAGACCACTTGGCTACCATGACCGGCTTTCAGCTTTTTACACTCTGAAAATTCAAGAGTTAATTACACAATTTCATTTGTACACCCACTCCCAGACTAATACAAGTTCTACCAATACAAATTCAGTTCAACGTGGATTCATAAGGTTGGTGTTAATTAACATGACCGGCTTCTTGGTTTAACAAGATTTTTCCATAACTTCTCCACTACATCGCATTACAGTGACATCTTCATTTTAGGTTTGCACTGCAAACAAAAATTCTGTACCTTAAATAAAAAAAAGGAAAAAAGAAAACATATATGGGAGTTATATAGAATTCAAACAGAGTATTAAATTTCCTGTTAATTGCACAATTTGCTTCAGACTGACAAAAAGTTATATACACCTAAAAGCAATGTAAATGCTGTATAAATGAGTAACTATACACACTACTAAAGACAAGTGTTTTATTTTATGTTCTAATATTGTAAATAGATTTATGATACATATGTATATGTACAGTATTTATCAAATTAAGTGCAATTTACAGCCAAATTTCAAGAAAGAACTTCTGAATACAATCACATATGATGCTGGAATTAATCACAGAGCTACTACCCCAATTCATACAAAAATGCAACACATGTTGTCACTTCTAGTCACACCTCCTGCCAACCTCAAGAAGACGACGCAAAAACTTCAAGGTCTCCGAGTAAGCAACAGCAGCATATCAATACTGTATTTACCTGAACGGTAGAAAGATTCTGAATCTAAGATGACCCCACACTCAGAAATATGTCTCCATATAAAATGTGATTTAAAATATTAATTACAAGCAAACATGGGGAAAATAATAAATATTTTAAAACATCTTATGCATCAGCCAACATCTATACAAGTATACTCTATGCTACTCATATAACAGAATCACCTTTTCTGAGCCTGGAACTTCCTCCATTTTCCAGCGTCCAGTTTCATCTTTTGTCCAGTTCACTGTCACAGATCTGATACCTGCTATATGGCCTTTACCATCATCAACAAACTCCTGGAACAATGCAACATTTCAGATATGAATGCAGTAGGATGTTTGACGCCCAAATGAAGATCAAGAAGATACATATAGGATGGTTATATTAATCCAAAGTACCTGAGACCCTTCTCAATTCTATATTGCTAAATATTATCAGTACTTGCTAACTAAACTTTGCAATGAAAGCTCAAATGCAGACATAGGCAAGGGAAAATGTAATTGTCTTTAAACATTTTATGCAGATACAAAAAGGAAAAAATGTGATACCTTGCTGAGTGTACTGAACTGCCGGGGATCTCGACCAAACTTCAACTGCACTTCCTCATGGCCATAGTCTACCTTGAATACCCTTGGAAACTGTGGCCAAGGATTGTCTTTAGCCCGTTTTCCTGGCGGCTCTGGAAGAATCTCAAATGTAGTGATGGACTTGGCCCCCTGAAACAAAGGATTAAGCCAATCACATAGCTATTGATTTTGAGCATAGATGAACATATTTTAATTCCATCATATTAATTCTGTTCAATGATCTATAATCTTATAGCAATAATTCATCAGAGACCTGTAATTGGAATATAAAGGGATTGTTACATACCTTCTACAGTCCAATCTACTGAACCGTCATCCTCACCTTTCTGACTCATAATCCATTCTGATGAAGCTCTGAGATTTGAGTCATGAAGAATCACAGTCAGTGCTGGCACATAAAGCCTGTTCAGTGACTCTTTCACTGGGCTTGTCACTATTTGTTTAAATGAACTGGGGGTTATTTCAATGCTTCCAAAGTAAGACATAAACAAAACTTGGCTCAACTTAATGACATCTGTAAAAATATTAATGACACTAGGCTCAAATAAAAAAGGATATAAGGAATTCTATATGGTAAACGTTAAAATCATCAAATTGTTTGAAATAAAAAGTGACAGTTCATGCTCATTTAATTGAGTTTCAAAATGTGATAAGTGTTTTAACCAAGTCCCAATATCTGACTGTGTTTTAACTAATATTCACATCGGGAAATTCACATTACACACAGATTCAGAACGTTTGATAATCTTATACCATTGCAAAGTTCACAACAAAAGATATGTCATATGATTAAATATTTACCTGTCTGAGAGATGTGGCAATACAGTCACAGCCAGTATCGCCCCCACCAATTATGATGACATCCTTTTCCTTGGCCAAAAGATGTGGCTGATCCACAACATTGCCCATTTGCTTCTTCTGCCAACTTTCCAGGAATGTCATAGCAAAATAAATACCTTCCAGTTGTCTTCCAGGAATAGGTAAGTCACGTGGCCAAGTGGCCCCAGTGCACAGGAGTAGCGCATCAAACTCCTCATAGAGATCCTGCACCAAGCACAAAAACAAAACAGGAGTAGTGCATCAAATTCCTTATAGATATCCTGCACCAAGCACAAAAACAAAACAGGAGTAGTACACAAAATTCCTTATAGATATCCTGCACCAAGCACAAAAACAAAACAGGAGTAGTACATCAAACTCCTCATAGAGATCCTGTACCAAGCAAGAAAAAAATGCTGCGAGTTTTAGAGATCTGAAACCTCTCCTTACTATACATAACAACTCCTGATATCAATTAATTTTTTCAAAACTAATATAGCGTGACATGTTGACCCCTACCTCCCCAGCTGCACGTAGCGGTAATGTAGCGCTCGCGTAACAGGTGAGTAATCACCCCGCACTCTCCCCGCGGTGACGTCACGAGCGGAGCCGAAGTGAGCCGAGCGGAGCCGACGTTAGCCGAGTCCCCGCAACCTGGTCGCTATGCAACGCGAGTCAACAGCGGTGACGTCACCAAGGGGTAACAGCGTTGCTAGGATATACGCAAACACGGACGCGTCACCGCTTCCTACTGTGACGTGGCAACAGGCACCACTGCCGCTATATAAGGGAACTGCACAGCAGCTACGAGTCAGTTGTAATGTGACAGTCGCCGAGTGTGTTATCAACAGTTCTCAAGGTAGCAGCCTGTGAGTGTGCGATAACTAAGGAGTCAGCGAGTGGAAGACTTATTGTGTGCTTTTGAGACTTAGTGAGTGCTGTAGGACAGTTATACTTGGAGTGTGTAATTCAGGGAGACTTGTATAGCTCCCGCGTTATTAATACGTGAAGACTCTTGAAGATAGTGTTAAGAGATTTTGTTGTAGGGTTTGTAAAGAGTGGAAACCCGTAACATTGTTATCATTAATTGTAGCCGATAGTTGTAGATTGTTGAATAAACCAGTTAACAATCCGAACGGCGTCCTCAGTAACGTAAACACGTTACAATATAAAACTAAGACATATGCATTCAGATCACATATGTGCACAGCGTATGTGTGTGCGCATACACACCCACAGAGCTGTCCAAAGTTGCAACAGATGTGTATGAATATGAGCATCCAAAGTGCGAACACGAGTTTTTATCGAGGAAAAACACATGCTCAGTGTTGAATATCATTTTACATGTAAAGTAGGCATGTGTAAATCTCTAATACTTTAAGACTAAATTAATAGGGAGGGGGATCTAAGGCTCCACTTTAAAGCTGCATATAAAGTACAGTCAACTCTCGATTATCTGGGATAATGGTGGGGATGGAAATCATGATTAATCGAAAACCCGGTTAAGACAAATTTTATTAGAAGTAGTACTGTAATACTGTACCTTCATAATACTATAGGCCCACCTGTATTTATATTTTTCAACCTCATTTTTATGTCATCTCATGGCCTATTTAATACTTTTTTTACATTACACTGAAGTATGAATTAGTTATTTCAATCACAGTCTTCAACAACATCCAACACTTTTTACGAATATTCACACTTAACACTTAAAAAAATTTAATATTGTCGCTTACTTTTTCGCGGCATTTTCCTTTTTCTGTTGAATACTTAATACAACATGCTTCCTTTTACACCCTGACATTTTGCTAATGCATTTGAAGATCGATACAAAGATACTAACTGGGGCGATGTATCTGTCCTTGAAACTTTCCACAAATCCTTGTGTTCTTTCACCCCTACTCTAGAACATTGTGTTAGCATAACAGGACCAAAGAATGCAGAGCTCGGTTCACACTAGTGCAAAGATAGTGTTACAACTCGCCATGTGAAACAAAAGTGAATGAATAAGCCTCAAAAAAGCCTCAGTAGCCCCAGTTAAGCCGCAAACCGNGTGTGAAACAAAAGTGAATGAATATTAAACAAATATAAGCCTCAAAAAAGCCTCAGTAGCCCCAGTTAAGCCGCAAACCGGTTAATAAGCCCCCGGATAATCGAGAGTTGACTGTATATCTCAGAAGACTTTGTCATATATCAGACAACATGACAAAGAGATGCTGCTTTTGAATCATCTGTGAATATTTAGTCCCAGATGGTGAAATTGACTTAGAAGTTGAGACATTTCTAGGGTGTTAATGGCTCATCTGTATGTGTTTACACACTAGTGGAATCTCCTGTGTGGTCACTGATGCATTAATTTCCACATCTTACAGAGAGGAGTGAACAAATATAATGGTTGCAGTGTGGAGAAGAGAGGAATCCATATCTGAAATTCATATACAGAGACATTTCTGATACTATCTACAGCAAGACAGAAGTGTACCTTGGCTGAAATATCCTTGCCAACATTAATGTTTGTTTTGAACTCAATGCCTTCCTTGGCCAACAGACCAACTCTTCTCTGGACAACTTCCTTGGACAACTTCATGGTTGGGATACCATACTGCAGCAAGCCTCCCACACGATCATTTCGCTCAAACACAGTCACCATGTGCCCAGCCTGAAAAATGATACCATGATAAAATATGGTTTTCTACTTGTAATGTCACCAAACATTGTTAATAAGAGCCTCAACACTTTTATGAACTGAAAATGGAGTTTCAGACAAAACTTAAAATAGAACTAAAGATGTATAAACATTTTCTAGAAATACAGGCCCTCATATTTTGCAGCCTTGTGCCCAAAGGCAAAGAACACATAAAGTCACATTTCCCTCGGATATGGTTAACAGTTTCTTTGAATTATGATGGATTTTCAATTATCAAACATTAATTCAATGAGCGTCTATTGTATTTTCAAATTTCAGTCCAGTACCTTGTTCAGTTGGTGAGCAGCTGCCAAGCCCGATGGTCCCGATCCAACAACAGCCACTTTCTTTCCTGTCCTAACAGCAGGGGGTTCTGGATGAATCCAGCCTTGTTCAAATGCATGATCAATGATGGCACATTCAATGTTTTTGATGGTCACTGGTGGTTCACTAATTCCTAGCACACATGCACCTTCGCATGGTGCTGGACACACTCTCCCAGTAAACTCTGTACAGAGGAGACACAAAGAAGAAAATTGGCAAAAGTTGTTATTTATGTTGAATTTATAAATATAAAAAAGTCATCTACTGATTAAGGTTTAAGAAAGTACCCTACAGTAGCTTCTACCTGGGAAGTTATTTGTTTGCAGCAGTTGGTTCAGAGCCTCTTTCCAATTATTGTGGAATATAAGATCATTCCATTTAGGGATGATGTTACCAAGGGGGCAGCCATGAGAGCTCTGACAGAATGGAACACCACATTCCATGCAACGTGCTGCTTGCACACGCAACCCACTGCGGACATGTCCGAAGTTATAGATTTCTTCCCAATCTTTAAGCCGCTTCTCTGCAGGACGATACATGCCTGTCTCTCGCTTGTACTTGACGAAGCCCCTGCAGACAGAAGCAAACACTGGCTTTCACTGGTATAATAAACAGAAATATTCAAAATGCATTTGTGTTTCAACAACCCATTTGAAATAAATTTCGTCTTCATGTCTCAATACTGTAATGTGAAATCATGAGAGCTATATTTCTAATGAAAAATGCTGATAGGAATACAAACAACACTGTCAATTAAAAGCATGAACTTAACTAAATTCATTGGTTTGAACTGCCAGTATAATAAAAATACTTCTCTTATGGGAGTTAACTTTCATTGCATTTGTTCATCTCTTTTTAAGCTTAACTTTTGTTTTAATCTGTACTTGCTGAAACCCCAACTTTCTGAAAAGAGTGTTTCCTTCAGTCTGAATCTCTTTCTTCTTATTAAGGGCAACTTATTCATAGATAATCCTTACGATGATGATCTGATAATCATTTTGTCAAAAGATGGTAGTTCAGTTGTACACAGTGTCAGACTACCATTCCTATGATAATACAGTAACAAACTTACTGAGCAATGTTTTATTTGAAAATTCCTGACAGCAGTGAAAGCTAAAACACAGAAAAGTTGTGCTGTGGACTCATAGCATGGCAAAAGGAGAATCATCTTTCAGTAGTGTCAAAATGGTGATGTTGGGCCCATCCTGACTATTTCAAGGACTATCACACCAAGCTGAATTATTAAGGCAAAGAAAATTCCACCCCCACACTGCACAGGCATTACAGGACTTCCATACAAAATTTGATTAAAACTGTGTAAATTATAATAATTTTGGTCCTACCATACATTTATTGTGAATCTGAAGCCACAGCTCTACTATCTTTAATTGATTTCAATCAATAAATCTTCCACCTCTCAGGATTTCAGTGTAACAGCCCATAGAATTATAAAAAATTAATTACAATTGCTTGTCCAAATTTAGTGCAGGTCCATCAGAGTACATGTAATTGAAAATAGTCTGGCAGTTTGGCTCCTGTTACATGCAGAAATTTCTGACAAAATTAACAGCTGGTTCTAGAAGGGAATCTAAAAATTGCATTTATTACTAGGAGTCAGGGAATAATATCACAGAGACAAATGAAATATTTAAGTTCAATTTCATCACTAAAAGTCACTATACTGCATGGCAAAATGGGTGAAATAATTACAAGTCACACACAATCAGCACATATTAACTTGTTCATGTATTATGAATAAACTGGCAGTGCTTTTAAACTTCTGGTACTTTCCCACATGTGCCAGAGGTGGGGGAAAGGAACTAAGCCTTCTTGCATTTGGAAGGTTTGAAGAAAAGGAAGAAATAATTCAAATATTAATAATAAAAAAGATATTTAAAAATTATTCAGGCATTCTGAATGCTCTAGGGTGATCAGTAAAATAGTATGAGCCCCCATCAGTGCTCATGTACTTGTACTTGCCTTGTTTTATCAAGTATCTTCTCAAGTCGTTTCTTTTCAAAAGCCCCATCTAACACCGATTCTTCAATATCTCTGACTTTGGAGTCATTTAATTTGATGTCATTCCCATTGACAGCTTGCTGCACCTTCTCTTGGGCTGCTTCCTCAGCCAACTGTCGCAGTGCACGTTTGTATTCATAGGGAAACACCTGAATATAAAAAGGTTTCTCATAAAACCACATTATTTACTACTGCAATTGGTATAAAATTGTTCAATTGTATTCCACCACAACATAAATTAGGCATAATTCATACTACTATAGCTATGAATAGGAATGCTTATATTGTGTATGGCTGAAGAGCAATAGCAATTTTCATTTTAAAGATGTCACTGTTACAAATATCTTTCGTAATTCAACTCAATAGAAACAATTTGACATAATATAATATACATAAAATTGTAAAAGTTTTAATACTTTAAAATACCCCTGAATGTGGCTGAAAAAAGAATAATGGAAACAATCATTCAATGATTAAATCCGTATACTGCAGCAAATGATTTTTATTGAGGCGAGCTGAAGAATAATAGCAAACCTGACACGTGTTTTCACTTCATTACAAAACATGCATAAAAGAAGAATATTAGTCTCTGTGTATTTATTCTTAATGCCATTGTACCTTGACAAATCTGGAAACTGGTGCAGGCCACGTTTTTAGCAAATCCTCAGCAATAAGTGATCCTGTTTTCTCTTGGAATTCCTTCAATAAACTCTCCACATAATTGATATCTTCTTCCAGTTCAAGTGGCAATAACTCTACCGTCTCCATGTTACATTTCCTATGACAAAACAAAGCATCAAATATTATTTCTTTTTGGTAAAAGCTATCTCTGTAACAGGCCATGAAGGCCCATAGGGCTGCGAGAAGTTCAGGCTCCAACATTTTCTCTAGACCATCGGTTCACAGATGGCGGTAAGGTTGTCAGCCTTAAGCACTGGCTGCAATTTACTTCCCAGGAAGGTTCCTGGTACTCGTTTCTGTTAGAGGCTGAGTCGACCTCATGGCCATAGTGTGGCTGGAAAGATTAGTTCAATTGAATAAATCTACCTCACTGGGACTCGAGCCTGTGACCTTTCGACTTGTAGTATAGTGCCCCCACTTCTTTTTGGTTGTCATACTAAAATAATTACAATAAAAATAAACCCAAATACTATATATAAGTGAGACTTACTCTCCACAGGAAATAAATACATTGGAGGAACATATAATAGGAACATTTCTCACCACTGCAACTTCAGAAAACAAAACATTACAAGAAAGAAGCTGTCTTTGATTAAAAGCAAAATAAACTCAGGGAGGAAAATTTGTTTACCTTGACCTCTTCTCATCGAACAAACTATAAGTTGAAGTACAGTTACTGTTGTACTCACTCTCTGATATAAACACAAAACTTTGGCAGGTCAGTAGAGGAAAGAAGTAAGAGAGAATATTAAAAAAATATGCATAGGAGATCTTAAAACAAGGAGAAAGAAGTGAACAATTTGTATGGATTACACTGGATACCAGGTTCATAACAGAAATATTTATCTGACCAACATACTCAATATGCATCTTACACTATAGATTATTCAAAATTCAGGGGTGTAGCACTACTTTACCTCTTGAAAGAACCATCTACATCCAGAACATATGCGATACCACCAGACATACCAGCAGCAAAATTGCGGCCTGTCAAGCCCAAAATCACAGCACAACCACCAGTCATGTATTCACATCCATGGTCACCCACGCCCTGTCAACAAACAATTTTTAAATCTGACAATGTAATTATTTAAGTTTTATATACCAATGCTGTCAGTAACTCAAAATGTACAGGGTCAGATGATGGGATGATTAGTGACTAATGAATTGGAAAAACTGTGGAAGGATGCAGTCATGGCATAATCTTAGGCTTTATCCCAGCATCTGCCTCAAAGGACTGAGGAAAACCAAAGAACGCCTCAGTTGGAATGGCCATTCTCTAGACGAGACTTGAACTGAGACATCCAAGGTATTAAACACTCAAACATGCCATTCAGTAAATTTTACAAGAGGTATATGTTGAATGTTTGTTATCATACATCATGTAATACATAGTCTTACAGTAACAATAATAGATGCTTATAGACACTGTGTAGCAGAGAAAGTACGGCTAATACTTTCTAGAGCAAAGGCTCAAATGCAATGATAATAAAACAGAGCTCTACATATTTCAGAAATTCTTTGACTTCCCTTTTAATTTTCACATTTTTAATTTCTGATCTGATTTTCATTTTTAGTTTCTAAAGTTCCCTTCACACATAAAAAAGTAAAGAAAGTAAAAAAAGTAAACCTATCCCTGTACCAGGCCGTGAAGGCCCATAAGGTTGTGAGACGTTGAGGGTCACACATTATCTAGACATTCAGCTCAAAGATGGAGGTAAGGTTGTCAGCCTTATGCATCAGCTGCACTTTACTCCCCAGGAAAATTATTTAATGAATTCCTGGTATTCATTTCTGTTAGAGGCTGAGTCGCCCTAAGGCCATAATGCGGCTGGAAGGATTAGGTTAACTGAAAAAAATCTGTTACAGAAATAGTAAATAATAGAACATTATACAATTTACCAACATTTCTATAATTCAGTTAATTATGGAGTGTGAAAAAACAATTCTCTTCTTAAGATATTCAGAAAAACAGATCTCTTAATATTAAAAAATTACTCTTGCCTTGTTTCACATTTAACAATACATTCAGTATGTGCAAAACGTTTCTGAGCAACTGAGCTATTAGGGATTATAAAAGCATTTAAATGCAAACAGCATACTCTCACATATTTGTGTGGGATGTGTGACTTATAGACAGGTTTTGGATTGGATGATTGGATTTATTGCACTTTACACACACAACTCATAATTACAAGTAATAGAGCACTATTGATGATCTATACACTTTGCAGTTCACCACTGCACACACACTATGGTTCTCAGTCTTCCCTGTCATATCCTTGCAACAGATCTGTAACAGTCTCACTGTCATTGCAGCAGACATGCAGTATTCCTTGCACAGCCTATTTTTTTTTTGTTCCATCATCTTTGACTGCCATCCCTGAAGACACTCTCAATTCTCAACTAACTGCTCACTTGGAACTCTGGAACTCAAGTCAATTCTTCTGCAACTGCCAACTATGGAGCTCAACTCCATTCTTCTGACAACAACATCCAACTATCTTAATTCTGATTCTAGCTGTGTGAGATCCTCGTTATATAGCCTCAGGGTGGCGACACAGAAAACATGACTTCCTCTGTTGTTGCATGTTGAGTCATTGCTGCAGGGACATGTTTACGGCACAGTTGTGTAGCAAGAAGCACAGAACAGGCCCACATAGAACGTTGCTTGCAACATCTCTTCTATTGTTGTGCGACATCACAGCATATATGACACATTCCTCTGCTGTGTGTGTATGGGAAATTACCTAGCAAGAGCCATTTCTCTGTGTCCAAAGTTCTTGCTTTGAGCAAATGCACCACATTATCTAATGAAGAGCAAGAAACTTAAGGCAGGATAGGTAATCCTGTTAGGATTTCAACCAAATTCCTGTCAAATATAATGGAGGCACATCTTAACATTGAGTACAAAACAAAAAGAGAATTAAGGTCATCTAACATGTCTACTGCATTAACTGCTCACAATAAAATAGCCATTTTCCAATGCATTAGTGTGTGTCAAAAGATTAAAAATCACTAAAAGCTGATTTTGTCATAATATTTATAACATCTATCAGCTTTCACAGCAATTGAATGCGATGAAGAATTATAGATTTATTTTTATTTTGAATATTCTGCCTCATTCTAAATTAATCCTGGAACTAGACTATCCACGTATTTCAATGAAGCAGAGATGATAAGAAACAATCACTCAGATCCAAGAATGAAGAGTTAAAATTTCAATTTTCTTTTTCTGGATTAAGCAGTGTTAAGACTCCATCCACTTTTCTTCTTTTAGTCTGCTCCTCGAAAAACAGGTTGGGCTCTAAGAGCAAACTACACATATGCACATGTACAAGAACACATACAAACACACAATGAAAAGATATATCACCCATCATGTAAGTTCCTGATGATGAAGGCAGAGGCAGTACCCAAATGTTGAAAACTGAATTTCATATTGACACAGCTGATCACCTAAGAAGACTTCACTATGCTACAACATCAATATCAAAACTTAAGACTTAACTCAAAAAAATCCATGACAAATCCAGAAATTCTGGATGCATGGTCACACTGTTTGCAGTCTCTCCTATTCTATGTTTAAATTATGTATCTTTGGGTGTATGTCATACCATGAGTAAGTAACATTACAAAAGAAAAGTCCTGTGTGTTGAAAAAAGATCTTCAGCATGACAATTTTGGTTCCCATAACATGCTGAAAATAAAATCTAGTAACTTTCTAATGACAATGTAATGCTCTATGTCACTGTCTAATAAAATATAAACCGAGATGTCTTAGACATACGAGTAATATACTCAGCACTAACCTCTACAACAGCCACTGCTCCAGAATTTCGAACAGAGAATCTCTCTGCTGCGATGCCCCTGAAGAATGCCTTTCCACTTGTGGCACCATATAAGCACACATTGCCAACAATTACATTGACTTCTGACAAGAAGTCTGGAGAGGATGCTTTTGGAGGATAAATGATGATTTCACCACCACATAATCCCTATTAACAATTGACCTCATATAAGCAAAGACCAAAAAGTGGAGTAATATGAGAAAATTTCAAATGTAGGAAATTTCACTCATCTGGCTACTAACACCACTAACTTGTTTATGAAATTTGTATTGTAGTGATAGTACTGTGTAAAATGTTCAATGCTTGTAATAATTCATAAAATTCTTGAAAAATTAAATGTGCATGGAAGTGGTTGCAGTCAATTTTTGCACCAGTATGTATTAGGCCAACAGAAGTCAGCCTGAAATGATCAATCTGTATTTTTTTTAAACGTTCCCTTCAAAAAATAAAGAAAAAATCTTACAGCCAAGATGACAAGGGCAATAACTGACAAAATATATTATTAAAAATAAATAAACTATAGAGAATGACTTGCTATGAATGCCACTCTATGCCATAGTATGTATGAATCAACTACATAGACAAGGGAACAGTTACCAGTCCTTTACTTGAAAGCATTACATACCTTTCCTACATAATCATTGGCATCTCCTTCCAGAGTGACATGAATTCCCTTTGTCATAAAAGCACAGAAACTCTGCCCTGCAGACCCTGTGAGCCTCACACTGATACTGTTTTCTGGCAATCCATCATCACCATGCCTCCTGTGCAAGGAACATGGTCACACCATCAGACATCACATAGTGAAGCAGCAGCAGACAATGATCTATTTTCTATAACTGTGGATATTGCATTACAGATTATTGTAACCTAACCTATAAATTTAGACATACAAAATATATCCACAGTTCAAATTCAGCTAATTCTTAAAAAATGAATTCAATAGAAAAAAATATCACCAATCAATATGTATTTTTCAACAGATTTCAAAATATTAGAATATGTATCAGCTATAGAAACCACTTTACTCATTGTTACTATTATTTTTATAAACTAATTAAAGGCCTAAAAGAAATACTTTATCACTGAATAAAAAATATAGTTATTTATATATATGTAAGTGGGTCAAAACAATCCACTTTAAATTTGTGTTTAGAAGTTCTGAATGAAATGATAAATTATAACTGAATCAGAAACTTCACAAAGTTACTGTGCTTCAACTTATGGTCTTATGAACCTTCTTGTCCTCTGCCTGCCCGGAGAGGTGAAGGAATCCACTTCTTAGGTGGAGCACTCAGGAGGCTACTCCCAAAGATAGGATGAAGGCAGAGGGGTCCTACAACTTAAGGTGAGCTCCGAAGCAAGGTTGGGGCCTGGTATTCTCCACACTCCCGAAGACTAAACTTCAGCTTCGATCTGTGCACAGAAAAATCTGCACCCAAGATCTGGCTGGGGATACAACCCAGGACTCTCTGAACAAGAATTTGGAGTCTTACAAAAGATAATCAAGTCCCCCAAAATAAGGTTACCAGAACATGTTGCACAATGACAAAACAAAATACAAAACTTCATACTATTGCTATCATTAATGCATAGAAAACTGTACAATCATTTTGTAACATGTGTATGTATACACCTTTTGTATCTTACAATTATAAACTGAATATTCTATTGAAACTGGTTAAAACAAAGAGTTCACATTTGTAACATATGGAAATATGGCCAGCACATATATATATTTATGAACACAATTTGAAACATACATGGAAATATGGTAACTTAAAGTCGATGCAAATGCACGGTCCTCATTAGTGATTTTCATTTCAATATCAACCCTGGGTTTCACTCCTTGCAAAACTGGAGCAGCTGCTTCTATCAAATCATTGTCCAGTCTCTTCTCCAGCTGGAAGTCCTGCAAAGAAAAATAAATCATACTGCTTATTTCATGCCCATTTTGCCAATTTCAGATTATAAGGTTACATAAAGATGCAATACTGTACAATGTAATATAAAATAACAAAATATAAAAACTGTAATATATTTAAACATTACAAGATATAATTCAGTACAGTACAGTACAGTGTAATGTAACATAACACAATCCTTCTATATACATAAGAAAGTTTTATAACAGTGAAGAGAAAGCTTGAAAATTATGTAATTTTGGATCATCATAACAATGAACAGATGCTGCATAAACAATACTGAACCAGAATTTACACACCTGTCTCTGTGAACCTCCAACAATGTTAACACCAGGTCGCATATGAAGCGCATTCTTCAAGATGAGGCTGAAGTTGAGTGTTTTGGCTTTTGGGTTTCCAGTGTCATTTACTCTCAGAAGATCTGTGCGTCCAATCAGGTCTTGGAATTTTGTGATTCCTAGACTTGCCATATGACCTCGAATCTGCAATATAAGTAAAGAATAAGATGTCACTTTCAAAGGCATCCATGGGGTACATTACCTTGGGTGTGTCACATGGAGCTATTACATAGAGAACTGAACTGTGAATAGATTGCAGTTTGTACCATAATAAGACACTGACAAGAGAGAATTAAGCATTCTGAAGGTATCTACTGTGTGTAGATGATCCTTCAGACTAGACCGTCACTTGTCAATAAATATAACCCAGTTGAGGGAAGTTATTCTGAATTCACTAGCTCAGCAGCTCACTTAAACATGACACCAATGATGGTTTCAACACTGAACTTCGTGTGCAGGTAATAATCACATTATATATGAGCAAATTATGAAGTAAATACAGAAAAGAAGCTTTGAAGCAAATTATCTCACCTCCTCTGCCAACATGAAAAGATAGTTGATTACATGTTCAGGTTTGCCTTCAAATTTCTTCCTGAGGACAGGATCCTGCGTAGCAATACCAACAGGGCACGTATTGAGGTGACACTTTCGCATCATAGTGCATCCCATGACAATCAGAGGCGCTGTGCTGAAGCCAAATTCATCTGCCCCCAATAGTGCAGCCACAACAACATCAAAACCTGAATACAGAATCCACCATACCCATTTGTTTCAATTGCATTTAACAGGTATATTCTCACACATTAAAATTAATTTAAAGAATCTAGTTCAGTGAAATTTAATTTGAACCATCATAGTTACTGCCACAGTTCTGTTAGATCAGTGACAATTTTCATATATGCACGAAGGTTACCACAAGTTTTAAAATATAATTTGCAAAATTAAAATGTTACTTCCTCATAATTATAAATTAGTACATGTAAATGCAATAAGTTGTTACTCATTACATATCTTAAATATCCCTCCATGCAGACGTTGAAAGCATGCCACAGAGAAGGTATCTACTTAGTAAGCTGTTTTGTGTATCTTTATATCTGCCCAGTTTGCATAATTATGCCTTTCCATCACCTCCTATTTCCTTCACTTACAAGTATACACTTTCTATTTAAATAATATTGCTGTTATAAGGATAACTCTCCTTAGAACATATGTTCAGCTGTCTCTTAGAATGGAATTCTGATGTCCCAGATGAAAATCATTAACAATGATAATTAATATTTTTAATTATGTCCTATATCAATATTACCTAGCTACTGACACAGTGTTGAAAAACGATATGACAAAAAGTTCTTCTCAATGCAGACCACAAAGAAGTTGATAATATGACTCCTGTAACTGAAAAATTAAAAGTGTGACTACCTACTACTTTTAAAGTAACAATATGTATTACACAAATACCTACACATTAATGTCATTAAGATTTAATGATTAGTTTTCTATACACACTTTCAGTGAACTTTCATTCTTTAAAAAGTGGATGCAGGACAGAAGCAGTACATACTGTATATAAAGAAGCTTGGATTGAATTTATTAGGCCATTCATTTTAACAAACATGGAACAGAAGTCACCCTCACCTGTACGTATCTGTCCATCAGCCTGAACTACAACCCTTGAACGAAGATTGTTTAATACAAGCACCTGGTGTGTCTCAGCAACACCCAGCTCCCATGGTAAGCCAGCATTCTTGATACCTGTCCATGAACTGGCCCCAGTACCACCATCATGACCTGAGATCACAATGTGCTCTGCCTTTCCCTGAAGGAACAAGTACTAAATTAAAGAGGACACAACAGTGTTTGTGTATGCTGAATGAGCAAATGATTGCAGATCAAGAACATTATGGTTGCACCTCAACCGAAAAGATTACTAGAAGATCCAAGTTCAAACTCAGGAGAGACTGAATTTTATTGTATCACTAAGAGTAAAGTATACTGAAACAATGGTATTTGTGAAAATTAATCTTCCGCAAAGTGAGCTTCACCTTTACATTATCATCCACTGAGCACTCTTCTACTCTAAACATGGAGGTAGCATGCTGGTATCTATCTAACAAAATGCATGGCCTCACATGACCATATTTTTGACTGTACTAAGCTTCACCAAGTACTAATTACATTTGCCAATCACAGTGTCTGCGCAGCCTAAGGCATGAACTGCCTTAGGGGCTAGTGGATGAAGTCATATGTTTGCTTGGCTTGGTCTGGGTCCCTTGAAATGTCAGTAATTTTAATTAACTCATACAGCTGATAGCCTAAGGAGATTTTATTAACATTAGCCATCATGAAAGCTTTAGATCCTACCAATTATTCTAATTCTAAATTCTTAGAAAATTAGCCTGCAATAAAAAGCAATCATTTTATACGAGGTTAAACAATAAACCTGAATAGATGTTTTGTGCAACAACTGACAACACTAGCGGGTTGGAGCATATCAGATCACAGGACTACACAATACAGCAGTGTTATTCAAACTGACATTCATTCATTCATTCATTCATTCATTCATTTCCTTTACTTTCCATATAGCCATACAGGTAGAAAACCTAGGATGTGGAAATAGTCCCTTTGATAATAGATGTGTCCAGATACATATAATAAATTACATGAGTTACATAATTAAAATCACATACATTAGTCAACTAACATAGGTAATAAAATAAAAAATAAAAAACTTAATACAATTTTAATTAATAAACATAATTTAAAATGAACATTATTATAAAACTAAAATTAATAAAATTTCACTCCAATTACCCAAATTAACTGAATTAAATGCATTATAAATTTACACACTTATGACCAATTATCTTTCCTTCTTTCTATATTTAATTTTCCCATAAATCAAAATACATTGATACAGGACTCGTCATATCACAATACTATCAGCAAAAAACATATACAGGCAATTCTACAGGTAAACAATACATATAAATCATGCTTATCAAAATGAAAAGCTGCATAAAAATCAAGACAAAAGATTACATCAAACACGCAAAAAACCGTATCAGATCAGCAATCAGATTATAAATTATTTGTAAGAAGCAAGGTTTTCCATTATTCTCCGATCTAGATATTCCCGCAATGAGTAAAAGGGGCCAATATGGAGACATTTTTTTTAAGGCATGTTCAAACTTATCAACATCATTTGTCATATTCTTAAGATTCTGTGGTAAATTATTAAATATCATAATCCCGGAACAGTAGACACCTTTTTGGACTTTAGTTAATTTATAAGTTGAATGATGTTGAATGATTGGAATGGAGGTCTTTGTGGATGCTTTGTTTATTGCTAAACATATGTCTCTTCCTGCCCCATGGGGCCATGGAAAATCTGACATTAGCAGAAATGACAAGCCCATAACTGAACAAATTGAGAATGAAACCTACCAAGACCATAACAGTTGCTGAAAATGTTCTCTGGTGTTGTCAGGGAAGTGTTCAAGACAGTACCAATATCATCATTACTGAAGGGATATCAAAATTCTGAGAACTTCATGACAAGAAACCAATGAAGCCAGTGATAGGCTTGAACATTATCCATGAAAATTCCTCAGATGATATGCATAAGACATCAAGGTTTACAGTTTCAAGTTTACTTTATTAAAGAAACTCAATATGTAGATAATGAAGCAGAATATATCCAGCTGTGATGTAACGTGCATAATACGTTGGGCTATAGGCATGTCTACTCCATTAGAAGTGTAAGCCTCTGTAGCCCCAGTGAACAGGAGGAGAGACAGACTTCTGTCTGAGCACCTAAATAATTTACAGGAACCTCTAAGGTGATCACATTCTCCATTTCTTAGGTCATTTTATAGCAGTGTATTCAATATGGAAGTGATCATAGTCATATAGATACACTGTGAACAAAGATGAGGTAGTATTGCAAATGGTTCTAAGATGTTACCAAAATGTTCATCCACAAAGATCTTGACAGTTTACACTAGGCACTTCTTGGATTTGAAGCAGAAATGGTAATAGTAGCATAATGTTCTTTCATTCAACTGAATAACATGCTATGACTTTCAAACAGTTAAACTCGGTTAACGCTCACTCTGCGATAAAATGCATATTTGCAGTGGAATATCTTTGTATCTTTGCAAGATCTTTCATATAGACTATGAATTACCAACACATACAACAAAACTGTGTGTAATACCTCACCTTAGCAACTCCTGAAGCTACTACACCAACTCCAACCTCTGACACTAATTTAACTGATATCCTGGCATTAGGGTTGGCACACTTCAAATCATAGATGAGTTCGGCCAGATCCTCAATGGAATATATATCGTGATGTGGAGGAGGAGAGATGAGACCTACCCCTGGCACAGAATGTCGTGTGGCTGCTATTTCCTTGGTTACCTATATTATAAGACACATGGCAAGATTACACAAAATCAATACAAATCACATAACATAAGAGTCCTAGTTATTTTTATGTATCATGCCATATTTTAATTCATTACTAACATTTGATGAAGTACATTTTGGGTAATTGCTTCAGCATTAATTCTTCCCAATTATCCTGGCTAACAACAGGGATAAGCTGCACAAATGATTATAAAAAAACAAGGAGAAAAGATATTTTGTTTTGTATATATACAAAATGTCACAACACATTTAAGAATTTTTCATACACTAATATATAACAGACTTTCCTTAATATCTGTGTGTGTACCCACCTTATTCTTTAGACATACAGGTTTCCCACAGTAACTTCCTCAATATCTGAGGCTCATAACAATGTATCAAAAGAAAGAAACATGGACTCCTTACATTCTTACATTGGCAAGTTACAATTTCTGAGAAATTGTCATGTCCCTTCAATCATTTCCATTGTTACCACTAAATAATCCTATTCAAGACAGGAAAATAAAGCCATCCTATTTCACACATCTTCATATTTGTGAACATGAGTAATTACATACAGAACTATTTATGGGCCATGGGACTTGCTTCAAGAGCCTCAGAACTATAAAAATAAACCAAGCATAAATGAACAGGTAACACAAAACTGAACAATCCATAGATGAATAATCACAAGTAACTGTATCTCCAGTTCATATGAACTTTTTCAAAACAGTGAAGTCAAAATCAGGCTACTTAAGATAAATGTTTGAGCAATGTACCAGAAGGAAAAAGGATAATATGTTTGACAATTGAGAGAAAAAGAAAATAACTAAAGAGATTTTACAATACACCTGTAACTTAGAAAACACCAAGACTAGTTTTATCTGTCCTTACATTGTGCAAATGAAGGTACAAGTTACATTCTTTGTGACACAATATAACCTTCTGTTTGGAAGAATCAAGGCAGAGGAAAAGTTAACTATGATACAATGAAGAATGGTTAGGTCATCAGATATTTAATGATGCTTTATCAATTGCTGAAGCTATATGCTGTAATGAAAGTCTGTATAAATATATGGGGGGCAAGTGTATGCTTTCTTCAGTGATCCTAAGAAATGATAAAATAAAATGCTAGTAAGGAGTACTATCTTCTGGGATATATGCCATGCAGTCCATTGAGAGTCAGTGGCATAGCTTGCCACCTTTTGTGCTAGTTATTTTGCTTGGCTTATTGGACCCTGAAGATGGTGGTGATACATTCCTCAAAATTTTTGGTTGACTTTCAACAGACCACCTGACGTTACATCCCAGAAAATAATATTCTTCATAACCAAAGTTGTGAGAACCTCAAATCCTACAAGATGGAAGTAAATTACACACTAAAAATTCTGATATTACTGAATTACAAGAATATAACAGCACTAAAATCTTCTGGGGTGATTAGCTGTACCAGTGTTGAGCCAGATACTGAGACAGTTGACTGCCCATGAAGATTTCAGTGTATTTATTTTTGTGAAGTTTAAAACCTTACAAGGATATAACAATTTATTGAATATGACAATGTTTTCTTCTTTTCTTTACCTTCAATTTGTATGAAACGTCTCATATTAAATTTGTCTTTGATAAATACACTAATGTGGGCAAAATATAAAGGTAATGAGAAGATGGAACTGCATTTAAAGGTAATGCTAATATGAGTATTACAAATACACTCACCTTATGTCCTGGCAATTCACCACCCTCTCCAGGTTTAGCTCCTTGTGCCATCTTGATCTGCAGATCATCAGCATGAGCAAGATATGAACTGGTGACTCCAAACCGTCCACTAGCCACCTGCTTGATGGCAGAACGTTTGTTGTGTTCTGGATCTTGATCAAGGTATCGGTCTGCATTTTCACCTACAACAATCCACATTTGCTGCTGAACAGTGATCATTTGGCAGTTGCCTTTCTTCATTTTTAATATACTGAAAATGTTATTCTTCCTTCAAAATGTTTACTCCATAACACAGATCCTCATCTGGTTTCATAACACTTGACTGACTTCATGTAAAAATGCAAAAAGAAACTTATCCATATTTGGAGATACAACCTCCGGATATAGAACAAGTCAATTACTACATATTAAAATAACATACATATCATACATGAGTCAGCAATACTATGAAACTTAATTATCTATAGATTTCATACAAATCAATCATACAACACATCATCCCACTTTCAAGAATTCAATACCAAAAGAAACCCAACATCCAACATTTTTTTTTATTAAGTGAGGACAAGATATTTGTCACAACATAAAACCATAACACACTCACTTCAGAATATTAGGGACATAAATTTATCAACAGCAAGGATTTTAAGTCCTTATTAAAAGAGTTATATTTTTTTTAATTTTATCTGCTCGGGGACCTTACTATGCAAGGCGATACCCATATTTATAACGCTTTTCTTAAAAAGAACTGTATTGCAATGATTTACATGTAAATTTAGTTTTCTTTGTGTGTTGTAATTATGGATGTCCACATTTTTCGCCATAAAGTATTTATATTTTTTAATAAAACATATCACTTCAAAAATGTAGTGCTGCCAATGTTAAAATATTATAATCTTTAAAAATTTGTCGGCATGACGTTCGATTATTAACTTGACTCATAATTTGAAGGACCTTTTTTGCAGTTTAAAGAGTCTGTCACATTCGTTATATCCTCCCCATAATATAATACCGTACCGCAAACAGGACTCAAAATTTGAAAAGCAGATATTTCTTATCATATATGGGCTCAATGTTTCTTTTAACGTTTTTATCATATAAACTACTTTATATGAATATTTTAATTAGGGATAGTTTCTTGTTTAGCTATGACCCATTATTTGATCTATTGTCATGTATCTGTTTCAATTTTGTATTATATTTTATATACACATGGTAGGTTATGTAGTTCCAGTGAGGTGTAGGGGATTCATATGCTATTTTTGTTGTTGTGGATTTATATGCATTGTTCTGTTGACTGCTTGCTGATTTGGCAAGCTTGTGGTGTGACAGCTTCTGTATCCAATGGCTTTGGCCTTGTATGGATCTGCTGGAACGTGTAATAAGTACAATACATAGCTTAGCTCTTAAAAATTGAGCATGGGCGCCCCATCTACTGCAAATAAAAATCATTTTCCTTAACAGTTATACTAAAAATAAACTTATAATGTCTCGCCCATACAGCCTTACAATCAGTCATTTGTATTTACAAGAATAAAAGACTATTCTCATATCATTTACACAACTTCATGAAAATTTAAACAGTCTTGATGGGGGTGTGCATATCAGGTATTCATCACTTGGAAACTGTGGAATATTAGATATCATTTATGATTTTATAAAAAACAAAGGCAACATTGCAAGTGTACAGTTCTCCATTTAGTTTCTGTAATTGTAACACTTCACTGCATATAACATTACTTTTTTATACATCAATAACTTTTTAACAAACGGACTCTCATGAAACTTCATATAGGCATCATACCATCTTCATGCTTCTGGATGTTCTAAGTTCATGACATTAATAACACTAACATAATGGTCATGCAGCTGATAAAACACTAGTGAAAATTTACGAGTCTAGAGCTGTGGTGCAGATACACACGTTCGATAAAATATGTTCCTTCTGTTGAGGTTTCCCTTTTAGAATGTACATGAAAATGTTTTAATAAACTTATACAGTGCAACTAAGTATGATGGGGTACCCAAAAGAAACCGAACTAATTTTTTTTTATGGGCAGAGCTTTTGTAGTACCGCGTTTTGCCGCTAGGAGCGCATAGAGCTAACATTCCTGAGTCGATAAGCCGACTACCGTTGCTTCAGAAGGTAAGGACTAGTTTCGGCAGAGTTTATAGTGACAACTGTTTTGTGTGATTGTCGTTTTTGCAATGGCTGATTTTCGTGAACAGCGTGCGGCGGTGAAATTCTGCTTTTTGCTCGGGAAAAGTGGAACAGAAACTCTTGAAATGTTAAAAACGGCGTAAAAGGACGATGCTATGGGGAAAACTCAAGTGTCTTGAGTGGTTTTCCCATTTCAAAAATGGTGAAATGTCAATTGATGACAAACCTCGTTCTGGTTGTCCTTCCACGGCCCGAACACATGAAAATGTTGAAAAAATTCGTGAAATCATCAAGGAAGATTGACGACGGACCATTGAAGAAATTGTGGGGCTGTCAGGAGTGACTTGGAGCTCAGCAGCCAGATTTGTAGCAGTCGGGTGACTGGTTTTTCCATCATGACAATGCCCCTGCTCACACAGCCCTGTCTGTATGACAATTCTTGACCAAAAATGGTATGACCCTTGTTCCTCACCCTCCATACTCACCCGACCTTGCCCCGTGAGACTTTTTTTTGTTTCCTCGAATGAAAAGAGACATGAAAGGAAAAAACGACGGAGGCGCTGTCAAGCATCTCAAAAGATGAATTTAGACAATGTTTTGAAAAATGGAATAAAAGACTAGACAAGTGTGTTAGTGTAAGTGGAGAGTACTTTGAAGGGGATTGAAGGTTTGTGCTTAAAATTTGAATAAATAAGTTAAAAAAAAATAAGTTCGGTTTCTTTTGGGTACCCCCTCGTATTTGCTGGCAATAATGCTCAACCACTGGACTTCGCAAATTTTTGTACGAATATAGATCATAAGCACACCTTCATATGTTCCAGGATAAGTTTTTATATGTTAACAATCAGAAATATGGCCACAATAAAAAACTTCAACCTTCATGCAAGCATGTACTTCAGAACTGATAACCAAGAAAGGAAAAACGTGATTATAAATTAAATTACTGAAACTCATCATACCAGTATTTGCTACAGGAAACAACATTCACTATGTAAATATTTCATTCATAACTTCCATGAAATTCATACCTCCTTCTCCAGTGTTAGACTTCCCTCCAACTTTATTCATGGCAAGAGCCAGAGTAGTGTGCGCCTCCAAAGATATGCTTCCAAAACTCATGGCACCTGAAACGGGGGATTATTCTAGTTATCAAGGAATTTCAATTCTAACAAAGTTTACGATCAATAACATTTCACACAATATATGGGGACAAACAAACAATTTATAGTAAATCAGCTACTTATGGCAGGTATATGGCAGTAATATCAGGGACTCGAATATAAGAGCTAATAATCCTTCATGGCCTCTATCAGGTCTGATTTCCTACATGTGGTTTCCTGTGCTTATTATCTTCCTCTTGCCTGGCTTACTCTCTGACCTCAAAGATGAAGTTGGCATTTTTCTCTGATGCACTGGTGAACTTCCGTTGAACTACATGGTACTAAAACAGAGATTGTACTCTTACAGGTAATGAAGATTCAGGTTCCATAAAAGGTGGAGAATTTCTTGAGTAGCTGAGTGACTATTGGCTTTTCAAGAAGGTATTTGCTCTATGAAGTTGGTTACATTTTTATTCGGTCGGTTTTTTGTACACTTCCATCATTTTTTATCATGAATTATATGTCTTTTCCACTTTATCTGCTTGGTGAATATTTGTCTGTTTTGGTTACAGCCACATGCTAACACAATTTCAGATCACATACCCTTGAAATTTTCATAGAAGGATGGAATTTGAATAGACAGATTCAAAGGTTTATTGTTTTTATAACTTTCACATAACAGTTCATGCATTTAAAGAAAGACCCTCGAAGAGGGTACGAAGTGGCTGAAATTAATAAAATTTAAGTTGAACCTGGCTGTAAAGAAGAAATGAGTTTCACAATACATACAAACCTTTTAGGAATCTGCTATTAAGTTTATAGTAATATTCATATAAATGACTGTGGATAGTGGGTCACTATGGATTATACATAAATATGTAGTCCAAAAAGATATCCCTACCTCTCAGAGAACACAACAGAAAAAAAAAGAGTGGCAAGACATTCATAACAAAATTTGCCAGGATAAAACTCAATGTGGAGCACTGGACGATTCACATACATGTAACATTTACTTGTAAGAAAAAATTTCTTAAAGCTGAAGAAATGTGGTGCTAACCTGTGGCAAACCTCTTGACTATCTCAGATGCTGGTTCTACCAGGCTGATGTCAATAGGATTATCTGATGTGACTAATTCCAGTTGTCCTCGTAAAGCACAAGATCTGACACTTTCCATTGTTGATTCACGGAAGCGGTCATAGGCATTGCTACTTTTGTTTACAGCTGCTTCCTAAAAGGTGAAACAATGTCGCATTTCCAAGTTGAATATACAATGCTTCAATGAATACCTACAAATAAAAATTTTATTTAAAACATGATTTATTGGAGCAGTGCAAGGAATACATGGCAATTTACATTCTGAAGTAACTTAAACTCAGATTCCATAGTACCTTTGCACTGTGTTTTCAAATTATTCATTAACTCTGCAGGAAATTCTAAATTTTCTCATGACAAGATGTCACTATTACTAAACTCAGCTCTCTAATTTCAGGAGCAGTGTTGCATTTTAGAAACAACAGCCATGTTGCCAAAACAAAAACAGACATTGATGGATTCATGAAAAATTTAGGTTTCATAATATCTGTGAGTGGAAAATATTTTCCAATGAAACACTTCTGGTCAAGGTTCTTAGACCGTCTCCTTCTAACAAAATAGAAGATGCTCTTAGATGCTGTCTTTTATATGTGGTGTAATGGGAGTTTGGTACAGAGGAGGGTAGTGAAGTGATCTGTAAATACGTCACTATCATTGCTACTGTGACAGCTGCGACATCTGACACACAAATCTTCAGCATCTAGTACACTGAAGTCCCATTTTCCACTTCAAAAGCATGCTAAATTAAACTGTTAACAGTGTTGCCTGCATTAAATAAAAGCTGCACAACACTAAAACTGCTCTAAAATGGAAACATGTTATTTGAAAGTGGGCTAAATTAAAGGTGGAACTGAAATACAGAACAGATACATTTTCAATGGCTCTATCTGCTTGTGACACACTAGCTGAACATGATGCCTGCAAATGTCTTCATAGTTTTAGGTACATAAAATTAATTTGTCATCATCAACATAATCAACACTAATTCTGTGCAGCCCATCTGCTTAAGACTTCTAAACCATCCTTCCTGATTCTCTTTCACATAAGTCATTCTCAACTGATCATATCTGGTACAACAAAAACTAATATAATTTATATGTCTTGAAAAGAAAAACTATGTGCAAAATCCAAGTGGGTGACAACAACTTAAGGTTTAGTTGGTTAGCTCCTATATCTAGTGATATTTCTCAAGCCAACAACCAATAATTTCCATAAAAATATATGCCAAGAGTAGTTTAAAACATGCCTATCACATTTCATCTAATAAGACTCTTACTTGAAGATTGGCAATGCTAAGTGGATCATTAATGTGCTTCTCTCCACCACTTCGCCAATGGTAGAGTCCAGGGTTTCTCAACACAAGCATATCAGAAGTATGATCTCCATAGGAAAGATAGTGTCTTTCATATGCTTCCTTAGCAAGTATTTCAAATGTCACACCTCCAATGCGAGACTGTGTTCCCTGGAACAAAAAGATGGCATGCAGTTATTGTTTCAACTAATATGTATTTGTCCAAATTACCAAGCTGCATGCAGAGAAATAGTTTGGTAGTAACAATAGTAACAATACTGATGACATACTATCACTTATTTCTTTTTTGTTTGAAGTTCTAAAACATGCAAAGTGTGGGAACTGCCCACATTCAAGCAAGTGTGACAACGCAAGCGTCATTGCTTAGCAACGACGAGTAAACAACGGTTGCTAGGCAGAAGCAAGTAAACAGCGGTAGCTAGGGAACTTATAAACACGGTAACCAGCAATAGCAGTACCTATTACATAACCGTTTTCTATATGTCCGATTCTAGGCTACATAAAAAGATACACTGAGTTACAGTGACAGTCTAGTTCTACCGTTCTACAATACCAGTTCAGTGTTCAAGCAGTTCACTACTGTTGTTTACGGAGGAGTGTTCGGCGACTTTTTCACCTTCATAATAATTATGAGGTCCATAACTAGCGTTGGCCACTAAGGAGTGTTGAGCGAATTGTTCTCCCTCTTGAACACTATGAGGTCCATCACTACTGTTGTCTACCATGGAGGTTTCGTCGACTTCTTCACCTTTATCCTCGTTATGAAGCCCATCACTACTGTTGGCCACTAAGGAGTGCTGGGAGACATGTTCACCTTCAAGAGCACTAAAATTCCTATCATCGCCTTGACGCTCTGGCTCTATTTTGACACCCATGCATTCAATGACCTGGCTGTCTGTTCTCTTGAAGCCGATTCCTGTAGAGGAAGGCTGATAGAAACGCTTCTTCTGCTGTTGCTCACATCCGTAGTAACTAGCTTCCTCAGCTTCCTGGTTTGTACAGACTCTTCTCTGTGATGCCAAGAAGAACTTCTCTTCCTCTTTGCAGTCTTGTCTACCATACTCTTAGTGACGCTGCTGGGCACGTGCTTGCCAGGCCTGCCAGCGCTCCAAAGTCTCCCGCCACACAGTCACTCCACTGGGCGACTTTACAATGCCAGCAGCCAGATTTCTTCACGTCCACATAGACTTTGTTGGACCCCTTCCGACGTCAGGAGGCTACACATACTGCCTCACTGCAGTCGACCGTTTCACCCGTTGGCCAGAAGCCATCCCCATCCCGGACATCACAGATGACACAGTGGCACGAGCCCTACTGACCGGCTGGATATCCTGCTTCGGTTGCCCACAGACCATCACCACCGACCAGGGACGTCAGTTTGAATCTCAACTCTTCCACTCCCTGGCCAAGCTCTGTGGCATTCAACTATCGAGAACAACCGCTCACCACCCAGCGGCTAACGGACTCGTGGAACGTTTCCACCGAACACTAAAGGCAGCCATCATGTGCCACGCAGACCAACACTGGACAGAAGCCCTACCCCTGGTTCTCCTCGGAATCCGCACGGCATTCAAAGAGGACCTGCAGGCATC